CAGCTTCCCCCCGGGCTGGGGGAGCCGCCTATCCCCTGCCTGCCATCCGGCTCTTCACAGTTCAGCTCAACCCATTCAGGGCCAAATTTTCCTCGGTGGGAAGCATCGGGAAAGGGAAACCTGGAGAAGCCGCCCTTCAGCAAAGCCTCACCGTCAGCGCCAGCTATTTCAGGCTCCGTTTCTGCAAGGCGCTGCTGGTGGAAGACGCGCAGCTGGGAGCGTTTCTGGCCCCCGAGGTGCCCCCGCGCTCAGCGGCAGGCAGGCTGCCTCGCTCCGAAATGCCCGTACAAGGCAGCCCTGCCCGCGGCTCTGGCAGGCACCGCAGGGGGACAGCGCGGGAGCCAAGCTCAGTGCACGGCATCACCTACACACAAAGAAATGCACCCACCAGGGAAGTCCACAGAGCCAACCTTGTCCAGAGACCTGCCGACAGCGAGGAGCAGAGCATCATCTACAAACACATGGGACCGCAAGCCGCCCTCATGCCAGGAAACCGTTGCTGAGCCTTGGTGGGCAACCTGTTCCCCTCTGCTCCTTGTCCATCCAACCTCAGCTTTCCCAGCTATCGGGCAGGGCTGGGGCTCCTCTCCCACATCCCCTGTGCAGGCGGGGCCACTGGCACATCCTCCCAGCCAGCTCAGGTCACGTCCCCTCCAGGGTCAGGGTGCTTGAGCCTGTCTGTCCAGCTGTGACACCTGCCTAGCTACTTGCTGCTGCCCAAAGGTCTTTCTTTGTCAGGTCGCAGCAGGCTGACACCCTCTGTGTTACAGAAAAGCGTGGTGGCCCAGAGGGACCGAGCACCTTGTCCCAGGAGGTCCCTGAGCCAGGCTGGTGGGTCCACCACCACCTTGTCCCCAGCAGACCAAGCCTTTCAGGGCAGAGGTGCTCCTGGCTCTCCTCCTCCCACCTGCCTCCCCATGAGAGCTCCGGGCTCTGCTGCATCTCAGAGGCTTCTGCAAACACCCAGGCTCCCCCTGAGCCCCCCATGACGGGTCCAGCCCAGGGGGAAGGAGCCGGACTGGGAAGCACAAAGCACTGCTGGACAAGGTTGGTCTGTGAAGCAGCTGCTGCTGCCGACACATTGATAGATAAACGCATCCCATCCAGCCTGAGCAGGGATGGTGGGACATGGCTTCCACTGATTACAAAAAGTCTTCCTTGCTGGTGTCACCAGGCACAACCCCAAGGCAGTGGCACAACCCCTAGCATCTTAATTCTAGGCTTACGGGCATCCACGACCTGTTCTAACGCAAAACTGATTCCTACATTTTAAAAGCAAAAGGACCCAGGAGAGCAACATTGCCGTCAAAGACACTCTGAAGAAACAACGCAGATGCCCCATCCCAACACATGGGGACCTCACCGAGGACAAAGTCAACACCACTGAACCTTGTGGTGGCCCTGCTGATGTGTCCCACATGTTTCAAGTCACGCCACTCTTCCAAATGGGGCTTTGCAGCCCCTCCGAAGGCTGGCACGGGCTCCTTATGACCACGGGCTCCTTACAACCGCGTCCACCTCGGCGTCTGTGGTGTGGTCCTGGCAGCCCACCCAAGGGAGGTGGTGATGGCAGCCTGGCAGGGCGGTAACGTTTCTGCTGCCCTGAGAAACGAGTCATTCATATGCAATTGTAGGAGGCCAAGGCAATGGAAAGCCTACACCACAGAGGCTCCCCGCTGCAACGTTCAATCAGTGCATTGCTCCGCTTGTGTGTTTGACAGATGCAGAGGCCACCCAAAGGCACCTGTCCACGGGGCAAACACAGGCAGCTGGTGCCAGCCCTGGGCACAGGAGCAGGGGATGGGTTCCAGAGCGCAGCATCCCTCGTGGGACGCAATCGGGGCCCTGTGCTGAGTCACAAACCTGCACACAGCACCCCCCTGCCCACCCCAGCCCCGAGCATCACCTGGCCCGGGTGGGATGCTGTCCTCAAGGAGGAAGATGCTGCGCATTGCCCCCGACGGCGGTCCCACGGCAGCCGCAGCAGCTTCTCACAGGGGTCCCCGTAACAAAATCCAACACAGCAGCAGCAAAAGCCCCCCAGCGCCCAGCATTGACCCCGGACACCAGCATCGGTCCACTGGCAAAGCCACTGCTCCCCTCCAGAGCCACCTCGGGGCTCCGATAGCTGCTCACCAGCCTGCCCAAATTTTGGACTGGTGTTTCAATTCCAGGCTGCTGCGTGCCAGGGAGCCCCAGAGGGATTTTCCTTAATTTTTCAAAAAACATGAGCTGGCACCACAGTGGCAAAGAGGAAAGGAGGAGAAGCAAAACAGAGAATGGACATGGTGTAAATCAAAGCACTTAAAAACAGGACTTACCATCCTCAATGATGACCTTGATGAGCCGAACTGAACCGTTTCGGGCTTTGGCAAAAAAGTCCCTTAATTCCGTGGTGGCTGAAAGAACCAGAAACATCGTGATCAGGTTTAACAGTCAAAGCAGGCGCTGGGCTGCTCGGCGACTGGCCAGGGAGGGGAGCGACTTGGCAAGATAGAAATTTAAAAGTTAAAAAAAATTAAATCTCTGCTGACAAAAAAAAATATAATAAAAATAATAATACAAAACCCAAACAGCTGGGAGCGAAATGCTGCGTCTCCCCGAGGCGTCAGAGCTAAATAGCAGCTGGGAGCGCATGTGATTCAGAGAACTTGATACTTGGCCTGGGTGAACATAATCACCCAAATTTAGACGATGGCTTGGCCGGTGCAGGCGAGGAGAGCTCAAGTGACAAGTTTATTCACTTTACGGAGCGGCAGGGTTTGCATAGGGGGATGGCTGGAACATGTCCCGACAGGCTGTGACGTCCCAGGCTTGCGACACGTGGTGCAGATGCTGCTCCCGACACAGCTGGGGACCAGCACAGCTCCAAAGTGGAGGCACTGGTTTGAAGCTGAGCCCCTGGAAAAGGGAAAGGCAACGGCCCCAGGGTTTTGCTCCAGAGCCAGTGGGGCTTTGGTTGTGGAAGGCTTTTGGGAAGCGTTTTGGGAGAGACCTTCCTCCTCATCCCCCCTCTCTGAGCACCAGGCACCAGCAACCAGGCTTCAGCATCCTCCCAGGAGGCAACAGCAGGGAGCAGACATTGAAGGGACAGCCCACAGCCAGCGTTAGAGGTTTAACCTGCCCACCCCGAAAGCATCACCAGCGTAGAGCTCCCTGTCCCACCTGGGATGCACTATGTGCGAAGGCAACGCCCAAGAGATGTGGCCTGGGGTGAGCCGAGCCCCCCGCCAAGGAGCATCTCCCAGCTCGGATCCCCCTTAAACCTCCTTGGCTGATGTGCCCGAGCCCCGTCCTGGAGGTGGCCAGGCAGCCAAGGGGTCCTGTGAGTTCAAAGCCCCAGGCAGCTCTGCATTTGTGAGAAATACTAAAGAAACCAGCGTCGGAAAGGTTAGAGACCCAGGCAGACGCCCCTCTTGGTCCACGCCAGGATCCATGCTTGGACTCGCCGTCAGGAGCCCCCACTCCTGGCACTTTGCCGTGCCGGAGCAGCCCATGGCAGGAAGGAGCCCTGCTTTGGTCCCCGGAGCCTGAGAGCACCCACGGCCAAGACACGTTGCAAAGCAAGCCCCTGCTACACCAGCCAGAACAGCGCGGTGGCCGGAGCAGCCATCCCCGCCGGCAGTGCCCGTGTCCATTCCACGTCAGTCCCACTGGCAGCGGGTACCACCCTGGGCGCAGCCCCCAGCATCACGCAGCAGGACGTCACCTTCACTCACCCAAGGGACACGGGGGGCCACCATCTGTCACACACCGGTGCCTTCTGTTCCCTGGAGGCAGGCTGGGGGGGGGGGGGAGACCCACCAAAAAAAAAGTGATAAGCAGCGGGCACGGATTTGTCCCCATGCACAAACGCTGACAATGCTGGCAGAGAGGGGGAGAAGGATGTCCCGGGGAGCACCCCAGGGAACTCCTGCCTGTCCCCTCCGAGGCGATATATCTGAGATGCATCTGCCCCCCCAGCTCACAAGCTGCCCTGGTGAGAGGTGCAGAGGGTTTCCCCTCCTGCAGAGAAAAGGGGCACAGAGGAGGCATTGCTCCCAGGCTGGTACCCTGCAAACAGCAGCACACCCCCAGGGGAACGGGCGCTCAGACACCCCAGCGAAGGCACATCGGTCCCTAACGGCACTTTAGGAGACACACACAGAAGGTTTGCTGGGGTGATCCCACCACGAGCAAACCATCCTTCCCCCTCCAACACGTGGCTCTCCTAATTCCCAGCACAGACCCTCCCCTTCCCCCAGCGCCGGAGGGGAGCTCAGCCCGTTCCCCCCGCTCCCACCCAGGGATGCTCTGGTATTTTTAGCCCCTTTCCCTGCTGAGAGCGGCTCTTTCCTTCCGGCAGCATCTGTGGTTATTGCAAACACACGAGGCGGAAGAGGAGGAGAAAAAGAGAATTTATACACCCAGGAAGCGTCCTGCAGGAGACAAAAGGCCCCTAATAAGCACTAAGCTTCACCGATTCCTGTTACACTGCCAAAATAGGAGAGAATAACATCGGTCTGGGATGTTTCTACAGCATCAGCTACGGGGCAGAAAGGAAAGCTCTGCAGCACGAACTGGCTTGCAAACCCCTCCGGACAGACCCCACTCTTCCCAGCACCCAAGGGTGCACGGGGGTCTGGAAAATCAGGAGTTTGGGCAAATGCAACCCCCCAGCCCACCTGGAAATGCTGGGAGTGCCCAGATGTACTGAATCCACAGCTGGGATGATTGACAGGTGAGGGATTGCCAAGTGATGGCCAAGCACTGGGACCTGTGTAGGGACAGAGGGGACAAGGGGATGGGGAGAAGCCCAGGCGCTGCCAGAGGAGCCGAGCACACGACGGGAAATACTGCAAGGTCTGCCCAGGAGGGAGATGCTTTACAGAGGAGACTGTGGCAGAGCTTTCAAAAAACTCAAGAGCGTGCTTCTGAGGTTTAACTGTGCTGAAATTTAAAAAAAAAAAAAAAAAAAAAAGCGCAATTTTAATTTAAATAAAAAAAATCACTGGGGTGTCTTTGACGTCCCCTTTGGTCTCTCATGACACAGAGCCAAGAGCCAGTGAGGAGGGAGAGGAGCAAGCTAGCAAAGGTTTTCAGCGTGAACTCATCAACTGCTTCCTTACAGCATGATTATGACTTAATTGACTCAGCAGACTTGACGAGATGACTTACGTGCCTGAAATATTCACATAAAAGTCCAGAGGAGGCTCTGGAAGAGCGCAGGGAGGAGACCTTACCCTGGAGATGGAGGCGAGTGGTCCCTCCGCCCGCAGGCATCTCCCTGCTGGGAAGTCTCCAGGACCAACTCAAGAGCTGACAAACCCACAGGTGGGGAAACCACAAAAACTAGGGAAAGGGAGGAGCGATGGGGCAGAGGACTGGAGGAGTACCCGCATGTCCAACTCACCCTCTTGACATGGGTTCCTGGAAAATCCTGCAGCAAACAATCCAGAAACAAACCCAAGTGGGGCTACAGCCAGCAGGGATCTACTGAGAACAAGTTGCATGAGATGAACCTAGGTCAGCCTGGCTTCCTCCAGCAGGGCCATGGACCTGCGGGCTTCCAGGATCCCAGCTCAGCTTTTCAAGTGTCCCCAAGTGTCGTAAGCCAGCTTCACGGAGGTGGGGAACCTCTACAGTGTGGGGACAAAACTGCACAGACAACTCTGGGAGGTATCAGAGGTTGGATTGAGCAAGGTCTCCTGGGGACCTCCCTGGAGGTGTTCACGGCCAGGCTGGATGAGGCTTTGAGCAACCTGGGCTAGTGGAGGTGTCCCCGCCCATGGCCAGGGGGGTGGAACTGGATGATTTTTAAGGTCTCTTCCAACCCAAACCATTCTGTGATTCTATGACCCATTGTGGGTCCAGGTTTAGCCCACGTTTCCAAGAACACCTCTGGCAACTGCAATGGTGTTTTCTGCAGATGGAAGGTGGGAAGCTAGAGGAGATGCAAGCGCGCACTGGAGCATTCACCGTTCTCTCAGAAGTCTGAAGAAATGGACTGGAAAAAAACAAATAGGATGAAACTCAATAGGAAGCAAAGTACCATATGTAGGAGAAGGACCAGCTACAGGGACGCAGGGCAGGGTCCCGCAGCTCTGGAGAAGACAGGTGGGTCATGAGCCAAATTACAGGTTCATCACTCCATGTTGTTGTGGGCAAAGTCATTTGTGAAGACACAAACAAGAGCATGACTTACGACTGTGGCCACGTTACTTGGTGCTGGTGAGGCTTCAGGCGCAGCATGACCAGCACACCCGGGCTCAGCACCACGCGAGGAGCAAGGTGCCATTCGTCCTGCGCTTTTTGTAGAAGGCACATTGTGCAGGAGCCACCAAAGGAACCAGGGCTGGTCAGCCCAGAGGAGAGAAGAAAAATAATGAACAGCTTGTTCTGGTTTTCTAGCCAGAAACATCAAGTCCCACCATGGCATTTGGGACATTTCGCAATGAGAGTGACCAAACCCTGGGAAGAACACGATGGCTCCATTCCTGCCCCGAGAGGCCTCCCGAAACCCTCCCAGGATGCTGCTGCTCTGAGGCAGGGTGAGCTCAGTAGCACCCTGAGGAACCTCCTGGCCTTTCTCCAAGGCAGCCCTGCTGCCAACCCTCCTGGGCTGCCACCCGCCAGCACCCTGCC